ATGTTGGTATGCTTGAAGTTGTCCCAGAGGCTCCTTACACCATCTTTATATTTTTGAATTCTTTTTTCTTTTTGCTCTTCTGGTTGGGTGTTTCTTGCTTCCTCGTATTTCAAATCATTGACTTGATTCTTGGAATCCTCTGGTCTACTGTTGAATCCCTGTATATTATTCTTTATTTCAGTCAGTGTATGCTTAATTTCTGACTGCTCTTTTTCTATTTTTTTTTGGCAGTCTCACTAAGATCCTTGAAAGTCTCACTAAGTTCCTTGGAGGATTCTAGAAGATTCTTGAGTAACCTTATAACTGTGGTTTTGAACTCTATATCCAGTAGTTTGCTTTCTTCCATTTCTTTCATTTGTGACATATTTCTTTGTCTCCTCATTTTGGTTGCTTTCCTGTGTTTGTTTCTATGTATTGGGTAGCTGCTAAGTCTCCTTGAGTTGATAGAATGGCCTTGTATAGTATGTGTCCTATAGGGCCCAGTGGCTCAGCCTCCTCAATAACCTGAGGTGGACACTCTTGGTGCACCCCTTGTGGGCTGTGTGCACAGTGTTGTTGTAGTTGAGCCTTGATAGCTGTTGGTATCACTGGGAGGAATTGACCTCCAGGCCAATTGGCTGAGGGGACCCAGCAGTGACTACAGTTAGAGAGCTGCTGTGCAGGAGACACCCTCATGGGGCAGGACTTGCTTCAGTAGGGCTTTGGTGCTCACTGAGTCTGTCCCTTGAGTGTGTCACTTATGGATGTGAAGAGTTGTAATCTGCTATGGTCTCACACTGACCACTGGGTACACTGGCTCTTGGATCTCCAAGGAGGTGCAAAGTCAGCTACTGCCTGGGGCCACCCAGCAGGAGCTACAGAGAGATCTGCAGATCCTCCTCTTTGTATGGGTTTGGATGAGGCCCAGCTGTGAAGCAAGGCAGGCTGGTGCTGGTGCCAGCCTTGGGCCTTTTATTGATAGCTTTGGGACTCTCTGACCCAGCTGTAGCTTGTTTGACAGGTTGTTTGCTGAGAAAGGACAGGCCATTCATATGCAAAAGCCACTGCGTACAGCTCAGGTGGGGTTGTAAATTGGGTGGTGCAGGGTCTCAGGGAAACTCCAGGGTGGAGCAAACAGAAATAGCTGCCAGTCAGCCCTGCACCTGGGAGGTCCCAGCACGGGAACAATGACTGCTGTGAGCATCACTGTCTGGAAGAAAGCCACCCTCACATTCCTGTCCCCATGTCAGACAATCCAGTTTCTCCCTGTATGTGTATGGGTCACCCAGAACCTCGCCTGGCACT